GATTTGAGATGTGAGTGTTCCATTTTAGGTTTTCTTGAATTGTTAGTCCGAGGAAGGTAGTTTCATGCGATATCGTTACAGGATTATTGTTTATGAGCAAATGCAGAGAGAGTTTTTCTTTAGATCGAGGATTCATGAAATTTAGAGACTGTCTTGCTTGGGTTTATGATGAGTTTGTTGTCTTGAAACCATTTTTTTAGTGCTTGCAAAGTTTTGTGAGTTTCTTTTTCTAATGATTGTTGTGTTTTTGCTTTGATGATGATGTTTGTGTCATCTGCAAACAAAATTATTTTCTTGTTCCTTAAAGCCAAAGGCATGTCATTTATGTATATAAGGAATAGTATTGGCCCAAGGATGGATCCTTGCGGGACTCCACAATTTATTATTTGAGGACAGGAGCAGTATGAGGAGATTTTGTTTTCTTTAGTGTGTTGGAGGGCAACTATTTGGCTACGATTTGATAAATATGATTTGATCCATTGGCCTGCAATGCCTCGAATTCCTAGCATTTCTAGTTTTCTGAAAAGTATATGGTGATCAATAATGTCAAAGGCTTTTGACAAATCTAAGAAAAGGCCAATGGGAATTTCCTTCTGATTTAGTGCAACAAGTATGTCATTTAAAAAGGATAAGATGGCTGTGTCTGTGGATCTATTACTCCTGAAGCCATGTTGTGCAACCACTCATTCTATATGATACTCGTATATATTTTCTAGATGCGAGGAGGTACTATTAATCTTCGAAATATACTTCGAAACGCTGATCTTTACTAGTCAACACTCCTTGGATCTTTCAACCATATCTCACCGACGGTGGTGGTGGGCTTTAGTTTCATATCCTGCCATTTTTTGCTAAGATGTATGGATTTGAAAGAGGAAACACATGATACATAAATCACAAAAAAACATTTGTTTCCAAATTAATGATTTATTTTTAAAAGTGCGAGCGGCAGCTTGCAAAACATAGTTGAGCGCGTGGCAGGAAAATCCATCATTGGACATTTTGTTTATATTGTGCATGGAGAGCTGCAGCATCTTGCCGAGGCCAGCTGGCGTCGGCGGCGACTAGCCAGGACGGTCCACTGTCCGACAAGCTCTGGCCTGCATCGTGTGATGGCACTTTGGCGGCTTCTCTAGAAGCGCATTACTCGAAACCGCCCCCGGACGCAGCAGTCTCGAGTCTGGTCCTGGAATGACAATAATAGAAAGCGAGCAACACCCTACAATGACAATAGTGGAAAGTTACGAAAATGGTGCAGTAGTAGATACAGAGCGGTAGTGGAGCGCTCTAGCTTTGTCGGTGTTTGTGTTTCTGTGTGTGCAGTCTCGCATGTGGCAAAATTCGCGCCTGGCTTAAGTCGAACATGCGGCGAGAAATTAATTAGTGTATGATGCGATTGTGTGGCTCAAAGAATCAAATAGTTGGGCCACGTTCAGAGAATGCAGACGGATAGGCTACCAAAGATCATGTCATGGATGGCCACAGGTGGGCGCAAAAAAGGAAGACCAAGAACTCGGTGAATGGATGACGTGTGCCAAGATCTTCGAGAGAGTGGAGAGTGATGGTGAATGACGGGAACGAGTGGAACGATTTAGTTGTGAAAGCCAAGACCCACGAAGGGATATAGTGCTAATGGAAGATGATGATGCGATAGTCGCCAAGAGTGAACGCGCGAGTGTGGCAAAATTCTCACCTGCCTTGTACTGAACGTAGGGTGAGAAATGATCTAGAGAATTTCGCGATTGTCCCTTAGAGCGCCGAATAATGGCGGTGCTGCCTACTGTTTCTTCCCACATTTCTCATCGACGATCTTTATTCGCAGCAACGAGTTAGAGATATCTCTAACTCGTTGATTCGCAGCCTCGAGTCTGTGCTAGACGCGGCAACTTCAACTCTGCTAACTTGATAGTTCTAGCGCGGTAGTTCGAATTGGCGGATCTCCAGCCTCGGCTCGGGAAATAATTCCGTGTTTTCCAATTTTGTCAGGGAATGAATTAAAACGAGACACTACTGTCACAATGTTGATCGTTTCCAATCACATGGCCTTAAGATCGTTCAGATCGATTGAGGAATTTTCATCTTAAGGGAAAACGACTGCACGGTTTAGGCGCAAACGTTGAGACGGACGGACGCCAACCAATTTATTGGTATCAAGAACCAACAAAACGTGGATTCTGACTACACAACGTGACAGAGGAGGCCATTCACTGCTTATAGGAAAATATGTCTTCACATTTTCGATATCAGGGTACCACAATACGAATTTTCTGACGAAAAATCTACGATACTTATTGCAATACTTAATATTTATACTTAAGTAAATAATAAGGGGAGAAAGTAAAACACAACCATTTTACTCTGGTTTATTGGTCCACATCACTGTCAAATAGTATTTTATCTTATTCTGCTTCCCACTTTATAAGCAAATTTTTTAACACACATTTCCGAATCTGTCATGCCGAATCTGTCACACGTGTCATATCAAAAAGACTATTGTTCAATATTACATCATTGTTTGCGAGAAGAGGGCATTTTTGCCCCAGTCGAAAATGCGAAAGTTAGGATGGTATCCTTCAGTTGTATTGTTCTTTATTGAAGACATGTATAACCAAGAAGAAAGAAATTTAAGGCGTAAATTGTTTTTATGTATTTTTAGTTTTTTAGTGCTGCTAGTTACCCTTTTGACTGACTTTTCTACCTTGTAACACAGGCTTGATGCAGGTGATTCAATAACTTTTTTACTGTGAGGTATCTTGAAACAGCCTTATTTTATATTTTAAATAAGAAATAATGTCATATGAATGAATTACTTATTGGAAGGCTTAATTGAGGACAAAACTCAAAAATTGGAATTAATTAATTCATTTTTCCTTTCATTATAGCTAGATGCGATAGCTTCAAAATTTTAAAATGATTCAAGCAACCATTAACAATAGTAATGTTTTTTTAAATATTAAAAAGATTAAAAGACTAATTGTTGAGCTTATTTCCAAAGTGACATATCTCCAAGGAATACAATTTTTTAGAAAGGGAAAGTATTAAATTCAGCCATATAGTTGAAGGTAGGATTCATTTTTTTAAAATATAGTTTAACTTATAAGAAACAACATTTTTGAGCAAAATACGTGTCATCGTGGAAAAGCATCTTGAGAATAATTCATATGAACAACATACAATCGTTGCCTACTTATATGTAAGTTACTAGTACTACTTTACGCCATGCTCACAACTATGAAACTAAAGGAAAGAAGATACATCATTTTGGAAATATGCTCTTCAATTTGTTTACTAACCTTCATACTTTACTTATTTGTTGTTTTCAATGAGTGATTATGAAAATGGATACAAGATTAAATCAGGTATTTCAGAGTTTACCACTTTAACTTTCTCAAAATATGTACTACAGGAAAATTTATGCAATGCTGCTCAAAGAAATGCAGATTTTTGTACAAAAGAATATGTTTGGTGGGTTTTTAATAACAAAAAACAAGTGGATTTTTCTTGCTCGCATTCATAGTTTACAACTTTCTCGTACACATCAAAATCTTCAGATTAAAAATCAACTATCTACGGTTGGCGGCTCATTGATTCCAAAGAAGAGTTTTCTGTTTGATTTTTTTCTTCTTCTAAAAAGATGTGTTTTATCAGTCTGTCTGTATGTATGTCTTTCAGTACATTTGCATATCTGTCTTTCTGTATGACTGTGTCTACTGGTCTGTCTGTCTCTCTCTGTGTGTTTAGTCCAGTCTGTCTGTCTAGTCCAGTCAATCTGGCCTGACAGATCAGACTTCTGTTCAAGAATATGACACGGATCTTAGATGTCTGGGAGAGCTATACATGAAGCCCCTGGGACATATTCAAAATTTTGTTAAAAATGGATCAAAACAGTTTCTTTACATTTCTTGTTCAAAAAGAGTTATGTGCACTCCTCAAAAAAGGTTAGGTGTGATTTTTAGTAAAACTTTCGATATTTCAATATTTATAAAATTTCAATTAAAAAAAAAAATTACATTACGTTTTACTAAATTTATTCAAGTGTAGTTATGTAATTTATTTAATTAAGTGTATTTATTTATTTATGTATTGATAATTAACTAGTGTACTTAAAATATATGTTAAAATAGATATCAACTTTTATAAAGTTCCTTTATTCAGAGCGATATTATTTCCACTTTCATTGGACATTTACACTCTGTTTCATAAGTAGCAAACATTTCTAAACTGTGAAATATAAATTTTTAAACATGTTTTTAAAAACTTTATTTCACATCATCGAAGGCAATTTGTACATTACAATAACAATAATCAGTAAACAAAACATCTTCAAGAAATATATTCTTCTCCTTCTGCGCTTCAAGGATTAGGTGGCTGCCTGTTCTGTCTTCACAAATCAAACCATCTTATGCATGGTTTTCCTACACTATTTTTTTCTGTTGGGTTGTACTGCAGCACTAGTTTAGGTATTCTATTGTGCTCCATTCTTTCTAAATTGGTTTTCCAGTCTCGTTTATATAGATGTATACAATCATTTAAACTAAATATTTTTAATACTTTTCTTATATCTTAATTTTTTTGTTTATCTAGCAAAGTACAACCTTTTACTCTCTTTAAAAATTTCATCTCTGTAGTTTGAATATTCATTTTTTCTTTTTGAGAGAATCCAATTTTCACTCCAATGTAGGATTTTCACTCTAATATAGGACTACTGGTGTTGTCATTGTTTTATGATATTTTAACATTGTATCATTTCTATTCTTATTTCTTTATGTTCTGTGTAGCGTGTCTCATATATTTTGGAACTTGTGCAATTTATTATTTATATCTTGGCTCCAGTCATAACTTATATTTCATTCCCGATAATTGAAATGTGATACTTGTTCTATTGTTTGCTTTTCCAGGTATATCTTTGTTCTAATTGGATAAACTCCTTTAAAAGCCTAGACCTATGTTGTTTGTTTTGATATTTTCGTGTTATAATTTTTACACATTAGATTTAATTGATGGAGTGCCATTTGGAGATCATTTTCCTTTTCATACATAATAACTTGGTCATCAGCAAATAGCAGAGTATTGATATAATTATGTCCATTCAATCTGATCCCTTGTTTTAATTTTAATTTCCATTCTCTACGAATTTCATCTAAATAGATGTTAAATAATATTGGGGAAAGGCTGCAACCTTGTTTTAATCCTCCGTTAGTTTTTAATGGTTGTGATAGAAGTGAATTTATTTTTATTCGGGTATTTGTATTATTATATAGGCTTTTAGCTACATTTATTCAATGTTTTGGAAAGCCTCTTGGATCCATTATGACCCATAATCTTCTCCTGTTTACTCAGACGAAGTCTTTTTCAAAATCAATGAATGCAATGTGCGTGTCTAAATTGAGGGTGACAGCGCAATAGTGGCCTATCCCACATTTTTAGGAAATTGCATTCTCTGTGTTAATCACATCTTAATCTCCCTAACTTCAACGTGTAACAGTTTCAGCATGTTTGCGTTCATAGTTTTCAAGTTATAATTACAAAAAGAACTATTGCACTCAGCTTACGATTACATTTCTTTGTGCAATAATGGCCTAAGCATAGGCGATGCTGTTTTACACAAGATGTAATCCACCACAAATGTTTAGTCAGTGGTCATTCTTACATAATATCATAATATGAAAACACTTACAAATGAGTGTTTAATTTTGCCAATAACTTCATCAGCCATTTCCTTCAAACACAGGATCTGGGGATAGGCCACTATTGCGCTGACACCCTCAATTAATCTCTCATCTTTTCTCTATTATTTGGTTCAATATATGAAAACATTATCTGTGTATGATCTTCCCTTTCTGAAGCCATTTCGTTCTTCTAATAATATAACTTCAGCTATCGTCTTAATCCTCTTTTGGATCATTTTACTGTAGATTTTATATGTTGTGTTTAAGAGGCTAATACCTCTATAATTTTCACAGCTACTTCAATCCCTCTTTATAAACAAATATAGTATTAGGTCTGTATGCCATTCTTCTGGTATTGTACTTCTTAGCCAACATTGATTGTATAGATGAAACAGTCTTCAATGGAGGAAAGTGCTTCCATATTTTAGCAATTCTTCGTTTATATTATGTATACCAGTAGCTTTTCCACATTTCATTTCTTTTAATACTTGAAATAATTCTTCTATTGTTAGTGGATCAATATTATCGTTCTTTTGTTCTTCATGTTCTTCCTTTCCTTCCAGTGGGTTGAATCATAGATTATTGTAGTGTTGTAGTTATTTCTCTTCGTCAATAACTATCAATTGAACGGTATCTTTTTCTTTTTGATTGTGTTGTCTCATTACTTTATAGGTTAATACTTGCTTTCCTTGAATATAATTTTCTATTTCGTTTATGAAGTGATCCCAAGCCTCCTGATGTGTTATATGAGATTGCCTTTTGGCTTCATTTTTATGGCAGTTATATTCTTTCTTAGTTTCTTCATTTCGTGCTTAAAGATATTTCAAGTATGCTTTCTTTTTCTCTGTCACTACTTCTTTAAGTTGTGTATTCCATACTCTGAGTCCCTTCGTTTTCCTGAACTTCTTTTTCTTTCCTATGCTATCAAAAGCTGCTTTCTCTATGCAGATTTTAATATTTTCCCATTCTTTCTCCACTTTATCATTTATTGGTATATTTTCTAAGTAATTATCTAGCTTCTGTTGATGTAGTTTTTAATACTCTCATCTTGTAGCAGATATACTTCAAAACCTTCTCCTACATTGTTTTTAATTTTGGGGCTTAGATTTTGCCATATACTTAGTAATTTAATAGTTGAGACAACCAAATAGTGATCTAAGTATATAACTTTGCCTCTATAAACTCTTGTAAACTCTTTTTTCGGTGCTTGTAACATGGTTGGGGACATTTCAATTACTAAAAGTCTTCACATAGATAAGCCGAATAAATCCCATATACAACACCATAAGCGAGAAAAGGATAAGCGATTCGGAATAAAGATAAACTAAAAGTTGCCACATGAAAATATTTTATTGATTTGTTATTTTTATTGCAAAATATGTGAAGACCTTTAAGTAAAGTAAAACAGGAGAAAATAAACTGTTAACTGATTTTAAAAATTCAAAATAGGTAAAAAACACTAATTAATAAGAGATATTACATATTAAAAATATATTGTTTTTGTATCACTTCATAACCAAATATGTTCTCATGAGCAAGGATGCAACCCAAAAGCATTTAATCTTGAAAATGCAGATTGTTAGTTTTTTATTGATTTTGAACTGTATTTTTATGTGTCTTTCTTACTAGCACATACTACAAAACATTATAAGAAAAAAAACGAACATATTGTGTCTCTACACCAAGGAAATAAATTTAATAATTTTTTATCAACATTCTAATACTGTACCTGCAACAGGGAAAACACTGTGTGAGATTTTTGTAGGGTCTTGAGAATTTTCAAAGCCTCTCCAGCCTTAATTTGTACTGCAAGATCATTTATGGACATATGGTACAGTTTTTGGTCTGGACCAATTATGAAAAATCCTCCACATTCGATTGTATTTGCTACAGGCACCACCCCATAAGCTTGATGAATCGTTCCCGTTGCATCAAATAAAATTGGAAACTTAAGGCTGCTGACACCTTGTTCATTGTGAGGTGTCTCAACCCAATCTGATTTGAAAACATTTTTGTTGCCTGATACAACAATCACATCACAATTGTAACTTTGGAATGTTGGCAGCTGTTCTGAAAATTCCAGCAGGTTCATGGGGCATCGTAAGTTTCTAAAACAAAGAAATAATCATGTAAATGGAAGATTCTATTTCATTATCAACAATATCTGAATTGTTATTAGGAGTTGTAAACTCTATCCATTAGATACAACTGAGCTTAATATATACAAGTAAGTATGGACAGGAAAGCTACATGGATACTTGTCTCTAAAATTAGTTTTTCTTTGATCATTTATTCACAGTACATTACTTACTCAGTATATGTTAAAGTACTATAATCCAAGAGTTATGTGGTTTTGGGTTAGGAAGTATAATAATAAAATATTTTACCTATGTATTTAGAATTGACATGTTTACCTTTTTTTTCTGGCACTTGTGTCAACTTTGTTAGCAAAAGAAATATTCTCAATAAACATTTTTTAAATTATTTAATATTAGGTCCTATATTATATAAATACAAATTCACGTATGTTATACAGAAGTTACTATTGACATTTAGGCCTATTCAATTCAATACTTACAAACATGTTAATGCACTGTATACCACTAATACAAGAAAACTGACAAATTGAAAAAAAAAATTAAGTGAAGAAAAGTGTTGAGAAAATAGACCTTTTTGCTGGTAAAAAACTCATAAAGATGATTCCCAAGACAGCCTTATTGTATTCTATTGAGTTAACACATTTCCTTTGACTGCACAGTAAATGATTCAGATTAAAATAAAACTATCTTTCGGCTAAATGACAACTTTTTTAGATATCTTTTCTTGTGCACTGCCTACCAATAAATTATAAAAAAATTGTATGTATTTATTTGTATAATGTAAAGGTGGCAGTAAACTGATAAGGGGTGTAGTGTAGGAAATTGAATATTCTCAATTAATATTTTAAAACAAATAAACATTGAAATTGTGTCCTAAGAATACAAATTCATATACTACATGTATGTTACTAGGATAGGTATTCACAAGTATAGAATACTTGAGAATACCAGTTATTGTTAGACAGCCTGCTTTTCATGCCTGTGTACCAGGGTTCAAGGTCCAATTGAGTTATTTGAAATTTGTGTTGTACAATGTGGATTCCCAACAGGTATGCTACTTTTAATGTAATCATTGTTTGAGCATCACTCATATCATATAATAATCAACAAATTATATAATTGTTGTCCTTTCCAGGAAGAACCATAGCCTAGAAAGTAGTAATATACTGAAGTAAACTGATAAAATTGCAAGCTAATGAATACAATCTTATTGTTAATATTTTAAATATATTATAGTTTTATATAGGATACCATACTGGTTAAAAGGAATTTAAAGTTGTGGCGTATTTATGACTTTCATAAATGCTCTTTCTTCTACAAATTCATTGATCCCATGTCATCCCAAGTCATTGAAAAAAATTATTTCTCACTGCGATATCTATGAGTGCAATAATGGGTATTATGATGTTTAATTTTTGCATGTAGACGTTAATATCGAAAATTAGGATCGTAAATTATTTTTTTCAAAAATTGTTATAATAAACCAAACAACTAAATTCATTTATGTACAGTAAAGGGTTAGGGTCCATATTTATAGGCACTATTTTTTTTAGCCTTAATTTATTTCATAATCTTTCTGTGTAATGGATTTGGGGATTGTTGTCCCCATCATCAGGCTGTAAAATTGAATGTTGAAATTAAATAGTACAACATTTAAAATTATTTACCACACAATATTAAAATGGAGAAATTATGATATGTAAGAATTTATTCAAAACATGAGAACTCACAAAACACAAAACAGATGGTTTGAACTTTAACATTATTATACAGTTATCTGTCACTAGACAGACAAAATAAAGTTCATTACATTGGTGAGAGTGGTTGAAAGAATGACTTCTGAGAGTCAGGGGAAGTTAAGTGAAGAAAGGGGAGGGAAAAGGATTTGAAAGCGGCAGAAAGAAGGGGGAACTATTTTTTGAATGTGCGACATCTATTCAGCAAAGCAACATACATTTTTGTAAAATGGATATTCTAAAGGGAAGTATTAATAGAATTATTTATTTTAATCTGTAAAGTTTCAGAAACTAATCATGGGTATCTCCGGGTCTCAATATTAAAGATTCTGGGATTAGGAAAATTGAAAGAATGTTGAAATTTATCTGATAATTGGATACAGAATTTCTGATGGATTCTTGAGGAATCTCTCTGATGTTCCTGTCACATTCTTTTATTCTAGTTAAAACTTGATGATTAGTTTGGCCTAAATATATTTGATTGCATTTATTGCATTCAGTACCGTATACAGAATTAGCGTTATTGAAAGGAGAAGTATAGTCTTTCACATTCCTGACCACAGTCTGTTTATTATGGGCTCTGTTTGTTAGAGTACACTGGTACTTCTCTTGAAAAATCTGTTCTAATATGTAATTAATTATGGGAACAAAAGGTCATGACAAACATTTATTCCCAGAAATATTTCCATCTTTTGACATTGGTTTAAAATGTGACTCAAGAAACTTCATTTTCTTAGAGATAAATTTATTGATAACAACATTAGGATAATTGTTGTTTCTTAAAATAGCTTGAACTATTTGTAAGTTAAATGGAAGGAAGTCCTCATCAGCTAATTTGACTGCGTAATCCACTAGATTATAAATAAATCCAATTTTGGTTTTCTTACTATGTGAGAAATAGTAATTAAGCACCCCCGAAACTGTTACACAAGAAGATAATGAAATAAATTAATGCTACATAAAAATTCGTCTGTCTATAAATATGGACTCTAATACTTTACTATAATTGATTAAAAGACAAACTAAAAGGTGGAAACAAACTAAATCATATTTCATATTCATATCAAAATCTTACCAAATCAACCTCATAATTTTTTAAGTTTAAATGTATTTTATGATTAAGGTTTATTAATACATATGAAAACTAAATTGTGCAGTGGATATTAGGGGTTACAAAAAAACATACAATTTTTTAAAACATTGATATTATCGACAAGAATCATTTATATATTAACATTGATATTTTGTGTTTGATGTTTTCTTCAGAACAATATATTTTTTTATCAATATTTGACAACATTTTCAAATAAAAATTCTCATGGAATAAAAAAAATTTCTATTGACTAATTTTTTTGTAAATTGGTAAAAACCAATGGTCACTGACATGTATCACTGTTGTCAGTGTCTAGATAGTAATATTCACAATGTTTCTCCATTTTTACCAGCTTAAGGGATTTAATTTGGATGTTCATTCCCATTTATAGGTTAATTTAGTTGAAGAGAGTGAGAGGAATATCTTAATGGTTATTTTTGGGAGTTTGAACAGGATAGCTCACTTTATTTCAATTTTAACAAAATATCTATTATGTTTCTTGGGAAAAGTAAACGATTGATGAAAATTAATAAGCTGGTTCAATGGTGTTGTAGATTACACTAAGGAACAATTTTTTTTTTTTCATACTTCCAGAACGAGAGTAGAGGATTTCTAAGAAATTATCGCTACTGCCCTGTGGATACCTATACAGCATGACACTTACTGACTCAGAATGTGCCACCCTAACAGTTGTATATTTGTATTCTTGCGATAAGGCAAGGAGCTAAAATAATACCTTTCAGTGACTGAAGTGCAATAGGAAATATGTGAGTGAACATGACTTGTTTTCAAAACATCCACTAAGATCGACTCATAATTGAACACGACTACCAGACATGAGAATTAAGATGGCAATCTTTAAATACAAAAGTTAAAAAACAACAACACAAAAGCCTAATTTTGTTCATATCTCATAAAAGCGGTAGAGATGAACTAAACAATTATTTTATTTTTAAATAGGCCAGTTGATTACACATATCTTACAGGTGCAGTTTAAATGTATTTGCATTAATAGCAATATATGGAATAATATGGTATAAAGATATGCTATATTAAAAACTGTTACATGATATAATGTTTTAATTCTGATATTCGTAATCTATGTATAAAATTGAGTATGTTGCATGTTCTACCTTCCTGGAGGTAAAAATCATGTTTCCAGAGTAACTTAAGATGAGTAGAGATAAAGATGAATCAAATTGTTTTAAATAAAATTTTACTAACAGCAAACCGCTTGTAACTCATTGAAAAGAAAATCTTTCCTAAAAATATATTATTGTTAACCTAAAATTATATTCTCAACATGTATAAAATTATCATGGGATTGCCAGATGTTCACCATATGAGTGGAATGTGCACTATGTAGATTAATAACTTTTGTGCTTAAAAAATGAAAACAGAGAACATGAAAATATATCTTAAAAAAAATATATAATAGTTGTTATAGGAGGGGAAAGAAATCTGTTTGTTATGACTAGTTTTAGTCATGGTTAGAGCAGACGTTTCGCAGTCAGAAATCAGCTCAAAATTTTCTACTGTTATTTTGAATATGTGCATCTGTCCTTATTTTTAATGCATTTAGCATCAAGAGAATAGGTCTCACAAACTGACTGACTGAACTGACTGAACTATAAAGTATAACTCATTTAGGTTTCATAATTAATATGGAAATATGATCAAGAAATACTACCTATTTTTTGTAGATGTATCATTAATATTTTGATCCATTGTCAAAAGTTTTTTAATGTTGTTTTGGCATCAAAATGGTCCTTTTGATGTACCTATTTGCAATGTATCAAAATATTGATGTATGAATGTTTGGGTGAAATTTGCTATTACTATCGGATATTCAATTAATAATATTTTAAATGTTAATGGACACACTGTCTTCACTTGCTCATTGGGGCATTGTAATACTTAAATTAATTATGTTAATGATTGATTTTAACTTCTGAATGAATTTAATGAAATGTATTGATGACTTTTATTTATCTATTCCTTACGTTTTCTCATACCATTTGATTATAATTAGTATACTCTTCATTCAGCCATTTATTAACCTTTTTATGATTATTAGGTTGGATTAATACTTTTTTTGAAGCATAATTTGATAATCAAACTTATATCTTTAAGTGTGCTTTGCACTTGATATTTTCTTTTGTTTTTGAATATATCAAGG